CGTGTGAAACCCTACAGGGCAAGCAGCTCAGCAGCCCCAGAGGAACACCAATGCCTCTAAGTGCCAGGAAAGTTCCACTTCTCCTCAATGAACAGGACCTGGATCTGTTCCTTGTGGCCTCCCAACCTGAGCCGTGCAGCTTATTTTGGAAAGGGCAGCCCCTTGGAGGTCAGGCTTTCACCGCGTCATTGAACCGACTGAACGCATTCCGGGAACCAAAACAGGTCAGGAGAGAGCCGTGAAACCCAATCAGCAACCTCCGTACCCACACTGCTCTCAGCTGCACGCTGTCTTTTCAGGCTTTCACCTCTCTCACTGCTTTCAGCTGCACTTGAAGTTTATTTGTACTTTAGCAATTTAATGATCTAAGTGCCTTTTGCCAAGCTGCCTGATGGGCAGGCGACCCTAAGGAACCACCAAGGCGTCGGGGAGATTGAGCTGCTGCCTCCTGAGAGTTGTGCACAAACAACACCCGTACACGACCAGGCTGGCCTCCTCCTAACAATCTAAAAACTATATTTATGAATAATGATACACAACGAACAAATACCCTTCCTTCTCCCTCTTCCCCGCCCGCAGCAAACGCCCGATTTCACCTCCAAAGCCTTCCAAAGCTGACTGCTGGCGTTGTGGAAGTAAAAATAGCACCGAGTCCCAGGCACGGCCGTGCACTCACTATTCGCTTCCCAGCTGCTCAGAGCAGCCTCTACAAACCCCGCTCGGAGGTCAAAGATTCTACAGGTTCCTCGGCGTGCCCGGCACGGACACCGCGGCCTACGGAGAGCGGCACACGAAGCCCCGAGCGAGCGCGGAGCCTGCCCGGCCCCTCACGGCCCAGGCCCGGCCACCGAGGCCCGGCCGCTCGGAGCCCCCCCGGGCGGGCCGTACCTTGGGGGGCCGGATCTTGCAGATGCCGGTTTTCTCGGCCAGGCCGCGGATGCGGCCGATGAAGCCGAGCGGGTCGCTGAACTCCTCCCAGCTGGGCTCGAACACGGGGCACTCAGGCGGCGGCACGAACTCGGCCGCGTAGCGCGACCCGCCGCCCCCCGCCATGGCCGCAGGGGGAGGGGGGCGCCGCCGCCGCCGGGAGCGCAGGGCGGAGAGGGACGGCCGGGGGGCTCAGGGGCTGGGCCGGAGAGCGAGGCGCATCCCCCGGCGGCGCTGCCGGGCGGGGCGGCGGGATGTGCTGCCGAGAGCCGCTGGCGCCGTCCCGGCCGGGACCGCTGCCCCCGCCCGAGCCCCGCTCCTCGCGTCCCGGCCCGCCGGAAGTGACGCGCCTTTCTAAGCCCTCCCCGGAAGTTTTGGCATGTTGCCTTCCGATCCAAAAAGTAGTCCCTCCGCCGCGCTACTTCTGGAGAGGTGGCTTCCGCGCCCGCCGCTCCCGGGGACGCCCCCGAGGCAGATCCCAGCGCAAATGCGACCCGTCCGCCGCCCCTCAGGGCACTGCGCCGGGCCAGGAGGGACCGGGAACGGGGAGGGCGGGGCCACTGTCACTTCCGCCGCGGAGGAATGTGCGACGAAATCCAAGCCATTCACTTCCGGTTCCGCGGGGCCGCGTCGCCCATTGTCTGTGCCGGACGTCAGGAGCGCCGCCAGAGGCCACGCCCCCTCATTGCCACGCCCCACTGCAGGCCCCGCCCCCGCCCCTGCCCTCAGGAGCGGTCGGCGGCGATGGAAGTGTCCGAATGGGGAAGGGACCCACAAATAACACAGAATCCGACTGCTGGCCCTGCACAGGACACCCCAAGAATCACACCGTGTCCCTGAGACCATTGTCCAAACATTTCTTGAGCTCTGGCAGGCTGTGCTGTGCCCACTGCCCTGGGGAGCTGCTCCAGTGCCCAACCACCCTCTGAGGGAAAAATCTTTTCCTGATACCCAACCGAGCTTCAGGCCACTCCCTCGGGTCCTGTCACTGTCACCACAGAGAGATCTGTATCATTTACCTGTCCATTGCAACACATTCTCCCAAAGTAAAATGTGTGTCTTTTCAACCAAATAAACTGTGTGTCGTGTTTAACCAGAACTGTGCCTTCACTGTCTGCCAAATGTCACATTTCACTTCATTCTTACTGATTATTCAAACCTCCGTGCTGCCGTTCTATTTCAGCCTCAGGAAAAGTTAATTCCCTCCTCCTGTTGCCAGGAGGCTTTACAAGATCTGCTGCACGCAGATTAAAACATTTCTCTGCGTCACTTCCCTGCCAGATTAAAGAGGTGTCACCCACATTTTACGTGTGGCAAACACACCCCCAATGCAAATGGCTAATTTTAACAGAAGTTACAATGATAAAACATTGAGCAAATTCATTTAATTGTGTTGTTGCTGAGTATTCTTACATTTCATAGGGAGATTCTGACATGGATGCTTCATAATTTTATGTAGGACTACATAAGCATGTGGAATTCAGATTCCTTATGACTATCTAGAAATTATATATTTCGACAAGTTCCTTCCACTTTTTTTTTTCTTTTATTATTTGGTTGAGTCTCTCTTCTGAGATTTTTTTGAGGAAATACACATGCCTTGTATTCCCAACAACAGAATCACCATGTACCCAATCTCTAAGATAAGCAATGATTTAGCCAGGAATACCAGAAGGAAAAATCTCCCTGCTCAAAAGTTTTGTTTTAAGATCCAGTCTTTTGCTGGTTTCCCTGTAGACTCTTCAAGGCTGTTTTGGTTTTATGTTAAGATATTTAGGCTAGTGGAGATCTCTGGGAGGCAATGTTGGGAATGTTGCAGCAGCAAAACATAAATATCCCATATAACCTAAGAGGGCATTTTTCTCATCAATCCTGCAAGAGATCCTTTTTAAAAGAGAATTTTAAGCTTTTCTCTATTACCTGCTCTTGTTTTGGGGCTGTTGGCCTTTAAAACACCTGTCCACATATTGTATTTGCAGGGACCCCCGTGGCAGGGAAGAAGGAATGATGAATCTGACTCCATGTTCTCAGAAGGCTAATTTAGTATTTTATGATACTATATTATATTAAAGAATACTATAATAAACTATACTAAAGAATACAGAAAAGATACTTACAGAATGCTAAAAAGATAATAATGAAAACTTGTGACTCTTTCCAGAGTCCTGACACAGCTTGGCACTGATTGGCAATGAGTGAAAACAACTCACACCAGAATCCAATGAAACAATCACCTGTGGGTAAACAATCTCCTAACATATTCCAGATGAGGAAAACACAGGAGAATCAAATGAGATAATATTTGTTTTCCCTTTTCTCTAAGGCCTCTCAGCTTCCCAGGAGAAAAATCCTGGGCAACCAGAGAATGTGACTGTGACAATCCACATGTACTCCATGTCAGTTTTTATTCTCCTTGGTTATCTGGGGTTATTTATCATTTCCCTGAGAGAAGACTTCAGCCCCTCATACAATGTCTGCAGCTGCTCTATGAGAGAAGGGACAGCCCCCTGTCCAACCCCAGGGAATCAGACTTTGAGGGACCAAGACAATTGATTTACAAGATGAGGGAGGAAGTTGACAATAACCAGAGAACACCCTTTGTTTGAAAAGAATATTTTGCATCATGTATGAGATATATGAATATGAAACAGGCTGTTGCTTTTAACAGTTAATCCTTTGTTAGCAAGGTGTGTTTCTATGGCAGAGTGCCAGACACCCAGACATCCATAATTCTTGGCTTTTATTGTCCTACCTCTGATTGTCCAAATTCTCATTTTTATGACTATTTTTATAACTATTTTATTACTATTAAACTTTTAAAATTTTAACACAAGTGATTGGTGTTTTTCACAAGGCCATTCCCTCGGGTCCTGTCGCTGGTCACCAAAATGAGATAAATGCCTGCTCCTCCTCTTCCCCTCACAAAGAAACTGCAAATTGTGATAAGGAAGAATCTTGTGGTTTCATAAATAAGCCTTTTTTTGACAAAAAAAGTCCATGTCTCTTAAACAAAGTCTTATGCAAAAAGAACTCTGGCTTATTGCTGAGTGTGAAAAATGCATATTTTACAATTGGCTTTATCTCAAATATTAAAATTAATATTATATGTGTTATGTTAGAGAGTTATGCTGTATTAATTCTCTTAAGTAGTGTGTTAAATATAGCTTTAGGTTTTAACATAATGTTAAAATAGAAACTATGCTATGTAAGATTTTTTTTTTTAAAGAGAGAACTCCCACCAAGATAGCAGCCACAGGACACCTAAATCTTTCAGAAAAAAAGAATGTAATGCTCTATTATCAGAAGAAACGAACTCATATTGTCCTAAATCCTAATTGTCCAAATTGTTATTACTCTAACTGTATTACTATTTTTATAACCGTTTTATTACTATTAAACTCCTTAACCAAGCGATTGGCATTTTTCACATTGAGCAAATTGGTTTTTTCTCTAGTACGCTTAATAAATTAGGAAATCGTTTGGAAATAATAAATTAGAAAATCGTTTGCATAAATGGCAACACTTAGGTACTACTGGGAGTCCATGAGGAGGATGAGGAGGCTACAAGGCCCTGGAATGACCTAAAGAACACATTCAATTCAGCCAGAATTTGTGCCAGTAACTTCTTGTGGCCGCTTCCGAATGCCAGACCACTTTCAAAGGAAAAGGGGCATTTTGCACAGCGTGTTTTGCTGGTGTGGATAAAGATTGATTTTATTTTGCCCGCAGCGAATCGCTGCCCTCACTAGCACAGGCCCAGGACTCCGCCATGGGCCCTCCGGCCACCCCAGAACTACAACTCCCAGACGCGCATGCGCGGAACAGCTGCCGCCCGCGTCGCGAGTGCTGATTGGCGCACGCCGCCGCTGTCGTATAAAAGCCTGTCTGTGATTGGAGGAGCCCGCGGGGGCGGGGCGTCGCGCCATTTAAGGCGCGGCGGGGCCGGTGCAGCCGTTGCTCGGCCGTTGGGGCTGTGAGGAGGCGGAGCGGGACCCCCATCCGGGGACCTCTATCCCGGGGCTTTTCCAGCGGGGCTCCCGCCGGGCACCCCCTTTTCACCAGCCTACCGGGGTGCCCGAAGCCCCTTTCCCCCACCCATGGACAGCCCGGCTCTCCGCAGGGCCGCCATGAGCTGTGCGGAGCGCGCTGCGGGGAGCTCGCGCTGCCCAAGGTAGTGAGGGTGGGGCGGCTGCTGCCGCCGGGACGCCCGGAGCCCTTTCCTCGCTGGCTCCCTGAGCCCTTTCCTTACTTTCTGGTGGATTGGTTTGCCCTAGAGCACCTCTAGGTGTGCTCCTGTGCCTGCTGTGCTTCCTTCTTCTGTCTTTCACTTTCTGCTGCTCTCCGGCAGTAAAATGCTCACCTTGTGCCTGGGTTGCCTCTTTCTCTAAGTATATTGGTTAAGGAGTTTCTGGTCCTTCAGCAACTTTCTGCACTTAATACTTACACTTTGGCGTATTTAATGCTTTCCTACAGTGCTCAGAGTTTTCATGGATGTGCACTGGGGTTCTGAGCCAAGCAGCTTTGGTGAGTGGCCCCATAAAGGTCACCATTGCCAAATAATTTTTTCATCAAAACTCCTCTGATTCTACACCACCACGTTCTGACTGAGCAGCACTTTGGTGAAGAAGCTTCTTAGCTTCTGTTAGTCATAGTATCGTTTAAAAAAAAAAGTTTGTAGTGTCAATATAAATAATGAAAAGAGCGCTAAGGGGGTTTTTTTTCTAACTCTGCAGCTCTATTTTTGAAATTGCTTCCGATTTGAACAGATTAAATGTTTGAATGCACTAAATATTGTTTTGAGGAAAAATACAGGAAATTATACATATCCTTGATTTGATTTATATAGCATTGATTTGCTTTCTATGTAGCACTTCAGCATAATATTCAAGAACTTGGCAGCTTCTATTTCAATGTTGAGGGTGGACAAGCTATGTGGATAAGAGCATCAAGTACACCAGAAAGGAAAGCACATAGATTCCTAGACCTACACCTTAAATTATAATGGCTGGTGCATTAGCTAGCCTGAGTTACCATCTTCATTCAGTGGGCTGTTTAGAAAGTGTTTTTCTGTTTGGGTGTCTGATAGAGACTGGCACAGATTGTTTTGCTGTTTATTTCACAGTGGCTGCTGCTTTTAATTGAACAGCAATGGGCTGTTTATCCTCTGAGTTCTTTCCTTCTGTTCTTTTTCTCCTCTTTTCATAGGTATCCTCCCCAGATAATGTACAGGGCTTTGCTTCCATAACATTTTTTTTTATCTTTTCCATGAGTTGGGCTCTCCTCCATTGCACAATAAACCTGCCAGCTGCTCTTTCTCAAAGTTCTTGCTTCTCCTAAATGCCATGATCTGCTAATACCCAGAGAACAGTGGAGTTAATCTGTGTAGAAACTTGAAATACTTTTAGCTACTTTAGAAAGTGTTTTAATTTCCCTTTAAAAACCCTTGTTTCCCTGCAGGGTGCCCACCCCCCGTGCCTCCTCCAGATCTGCTGAGTCCCGGTGTCCCAGTCTGGAGGATTTCCCTCCCCTGCCACCCATCGGGGAGCGCCTGGCCCATCTGAACCCCTCCCACGAGCTGCTGGACTACTACCGCAGGAAGATCGCTGACTTCGATGAGGAACACGAGGAATTGGTGAAAAGGCTGGAGAAATACAAGCAAACCTATGATGAACAGGTTGGGAAATGAGTTTTGGAACAATTATGGGCTGCATGCACGAGCTTAGTGCTTTTATTCAGGTGAAAACGCAGCACAGAAGTCTTGGGATTTATCAGCAACGCAGATTTTGGTGGTTAATTTTAAGATCTAGCAGTCTGTCCTCTGTCAAATCAATCAGAAACATGCCTGTAGGATTTTCTTCAAAAGTCATTACGGCTTGGTTATGTCTTCACACTGGGAATTTTGCTTTTTTTTTCTCTTTTTTTTTTTTTTTCTATTAAGGCCTGAATTTAGATTCTCATTTCCATGTTGTCCAGCTTCCTTCCCTTGCTTCTTGGATTGAAGGAGTGCTCTTTTGTCCAAATTTAATAGGTTTTGATTTATGGCTATAAGTTGTATTTACTGCAGTGGAATTCATAAGCTGTTAAGTAGAAATTTTAAAAATTGCCTTTTAAGAGGAAGAAATCTTAAAGAATACCTGCAAGATATGCAGTGTCCTGATACAGGCTATAGCATGTATCTGCCTAGCAGTCATCTTTGTAATTGTGGATGGTTCTTTGGGAGTAAAACAGACACTTTTGAGGTGATTGAGGTGCCTCCTCAAGCACTGGCCATGCTTGAAGCAGCCTGAAAGTCCTTGGGGATGTACTGTACATCTTATTGTCATCTGGGAAAAAGAGGGGCAGGTTGCAAAATAATGATTTTTTTTTTCATACAGGAGTGTTGGCAGATTCCTATGCAGGTGGAAAAAAATAAAACATAATAACTAGCTGAATTCCTCGCTGCTAAACCGTACAGATATTTTAGTGTTTGTTCTTCAGTGATTTATTTCAAAAGTAAATGCTGTTAGAGGCTTTGCTAGGTTTTTGTTGATGTCAGACTCCCCATACCTGCTCTGACCACCAGTGTGGAAATGCAACCACTGGAAACTGCACTGTTGTGTAGTGACAGTGATTCGCAGGGCTCTGAGCTCCCAGCTGAAACATTTTAAAATATTTTTTCCCAATTTTTTCCAATACTGCCCTCATCTGGTCAAATCTTACAGGACAATAAAATAATTCCTGAGCTGGCTGTTCTCTCCCAGCTCCAGACTGCACAAGCAGTTTGAAGTTTGTCAGTGTTGCCCAGTGCTCTGTTCCATTTCAAGTCCCTTGTTGTCTGCACTCAGCACCAGCTGCAGTGGGAGGTGCGGCACTTGGAGGAGGAGATTGCAGAGCTGCAGAAGGCTTTGAGTGACATGCAGGTGTATCTGTTCCAGGAGAAGGAGCAGGTCCTGCGCCTCTACGCGGAGAACGACCGCCTCAAACTCAGGTGGGCTGGCACCGTGGGGGTTTCTGAAAAATCCCTTCACCTTCAGGGCTTTTCTCATGAGAAGCCTCAGAAAAGATATGTAAACAATATTATCTGATTGCTTGCAATGTGGTTTATTGCATTTTTTAGTCTTCTAGTCTGACAAAGTTCCTCACAGAGGAGCACCATTTATGACTGGTCAGGGGTTTGTGTACAAGTTATGAATTAGACAGAACTGCTAGGGATGTGCTTTGAGCTGTTTTATTTTTCAGCCATTGTCATAATCATGTAATGAGACTGAAAAATAAATTACATTTGTTTTTCAGTCCCATTATATGGTTATGACAATGGGAAGATGCTATCAGCTCACATCCCAGGCAGCAGACTAAGAACTTAATGTTACAACTCACTTTGTAGATTTTTTGACCAATCTCACAAAGCAAGAGCATGTTGACTGTAGTTCTATCCAACTACTATAAGAACACGTGCCTTTAGTTAAAACAATGCTTGCTTATTTCAGATACAATACTTGTTTGTCAATGCACAGAGCTCTATTATTAAGCTTAAAACTTCATAATATCTTGTTAGGTAAACTTTTCTGTAGCTTAAAGAATTATTCTAAACAAGCATTAATACACAGACCATTGTTCTATTTGTCCTTACTTTTCTACTTTTTACATAATTTTTCTGCTAACCTATCTCATGGCTACTGCTTAGCTCTAATCACAGTTCTGCTGCATCCAAGACCTGTCTCTAGGGTTCCTTCCAACCCAAACTGTTCTATGAAATCAGAGTAGGATAATGAGAAATAAACCCAGATCTTAAAATACCTTTCCCCCACACTTCTCTTCTCCCAGCTCAACTTGACTCATGAATTTTCTTCCTCCTCCTCCTGAGGAGCACAGAGAGGGAGGGAATGGGGGTTGTGGTCAATTCATTGCATATTGTCTCTGCTGCTTCTTCCTCCTCACTCTCTCTGTGCTCCAGCATGATTTTTTCCATGCAAGATTTAAGAATTTAAGTCAAAACCTGTGTTGGTGTGCTTTGTCACTTCAGGAGTGTGATAAAAAGTCTGATACAGCCCTTAATGTAGTTTACTTTAAAAACAATGGACACCTACAATCTGAGAGAATTTTAGGCAGCTCATAACTCTTAATGCAAATTTTTTTCACCCTGTGCTATTGTAGCAGCCTACATAGCATTGTCATACTTGAAAAGAGAAATGCCCCCCAATCTCAGCAAAATTGGTAGTGTTCTTGTATTGGCAACATCAGGAATGTCTTTGGGAGTTTGTTTTTAAAGTAGTATTCTCAGGAACTGCAACAGGTTGGAAAACTTGCAAGCATCAACAGGTAAAGGAAAAGGACAGTGTCACAATGTCATGATATGTTTAAAAAAAATAATCTTCTCTTTGTATATTTTCTAATGTCTATTTTCCTATTTTCACTTTGTATTCCAGGGAATTGGAGGACAGGAAAAAAATCCAACAACTCCTGGCTATACTGGGAGCAGATGAAGGAGAAATTACATATTTTCATAAGGAGCCTCCACATAAGGCAAGTTCCATTTTTTCTGTAGATCTCCTCTTTGGATTTTAAAGTGAGTATCTGTATCCCAGTGTCTGACCACAGACCAGATCTGTCCCACAAATCCAAGGCTGCTAAATGAGCCCAAAGCAAGAGGGGTCTGTAGCAACATCAGGTAGCAACAGCAGGTATGGGGAGTCTGACATCAACAAAAGCTGTAGTATAAAGGTAAATAAGAGCAAGCACACTGAAAGTAGATCCTCTTAGCATCAGCCTCCTCCTGCCTTCAAAACATACCTCCAGCTCAGCCTCTGAAATGTCAGATGGGAGGCTGAAGTCATCTGGCAAATGGCTGTCAAGAAGATGGCAAAACACCACAAAAAGGAAAACAAAAAGTCCAGAAAATGGCCAGGCCCAGTGTTTGAAGCTCAGCTATCTCAGAATCCCTGTCTCTTAGAGCTTCAGTAAGGAAGAATGTGTCAAGGTTGCTGCAGCAGTTTCCTAGGCTGAGGATTGCTGAAGAGCCATCCCCTCTAGACAACATTGTGTTGCATATTTCAGAAGTGATGTTGAATTGTTTAAATGGCAGCACATATGATGTGCAATGCAGCTGAACCTAATCAGGAAAATCATGAGTGATTTGGATGTACAGAGACTATGATGGGAATATAGGATTTCTTTTGGAATAAGGTGCAGAAAAAGGCTGAAATATGCTGCATTTTTCATGGTTGCTCTGCACTGCTCAAGCTCTTCAAAAATCTTGCCAAAGCTTTAAAATTTCTGGTCTAGGGTAGCTCTAAAATTAAGCCTGTTATGTAATATCAACCTAAAGATAAGCATTGGGGTTATAACCTGCTCTTTCATGGCCTCCTTTTTTTTTTAGGTGGGTTTCAGTTCAACACTTGAGTTTCAGTATTTTTATCACTTAGCTTCTATCTCAGGCTTGTTCAGTATCTCAAATGGATGTGCTGATAAATGAAGCTTCATGTCTCTCTGTCTTGCTGAGACAAGAAGGAGTATAAAAGAAGGAAATAACATCATCTTCACCTTCCTCTTCTCTCTGTTTCCAAAATGCTCTTTTTCCTGCTGGGGGTGCTGATTTTCATCCTAATGAAGCCATCAGAGGCAGAATTACTTTGCACTTTTCTGGTGAAAAATACAGAGGCAGTAATGGCAAAACTTATCCATGACAAAGGAAACTTTTCAACATGGGCATTACACTTGTGAAATGTAATGCCTTCCTTATCTTGTGGTAGAAGTCAGGTAATGCTGTTCTTTTGGATATGTCATTTTAACTTTTTAAGGTTTGTTCTTGACCATTGCACCTTTGGTGAAGTAGATGCTCAGTGCATTTGTCTTGTTTCTGTAGGTTACTGTGCTGCAAAGGCCACCAGAGACCCATGAACAAGATGATGTTTCTAGCACAGGTACCACACCAAGCTGAGTAACAGCAGCTCAGCTCTTGCTGTTTTGGTGTCTGTCTTCTGTATGCCAAAATAATGAGCTACAGGGAAGTATGGGAATGCTTTGGTAAATCTCCCTTAAGTTCCCTAAATGTGTCTACATATCCATGCAGTACTCCTGGCTTCCCTTCATCATCCTTGAAAACAGCATTAGCTTTCATGTCCCTGATTGCTCAGCTAAGGAGGAGGCTGTGTTACATAATTACTTAATCAAATTGACTGAAGTTAGCCAACAAGCTCAAAACTCATTCAAGCCTTGATGTTTGTGCAGCTGTGGCATCTGCCTATTCATCATTTATTTTAAGAAAACATGTCAAGTTTTCTTTCTATATATGCCAACAAAATTAGGATGTTGCTTAAATACTGCAGTATGATAGAGGGGATAAGGGTGTGTGATCACCAGAAGTTCTAGCATTCTTTTCTTTCAGCTAACCCTCATAGAAGTCCTTGTGACTGTAGCAGTGGAAGCCTTTCTGCTGCTCCTGTACGCCCACCACAACACAAATATGTCATGCTTGGAAAAGTACTGCAAGTACATTGGAAAACCCTTTGCTACTTCAGTTAAATTTCTTCAATAGGTACAGAGAAGAGCACTTCAAAAGCAGCAGCAAAAGTAGAGAAATTAAGAAGCTCTGAGAGAGATCAAAAAGATGATGACACACTTCTACTACAGGTAAAAACATCTGCTAACTGATGGACATAATTGCTGGCTTGCAGAAAATTATGATAAAAAAATATTCTGTCTGCTTAAGATGTAGATGTACAAGTTGTATAAATCCCTGCATCTTACTATGGATCCACACTTTGTCAGTTTACTTAGCTGTTCCTTTGCTGTGAATGTAAATTTAAGAACTGATTCTGGAAGCTTTATGTAAGCAGATGTTCCAGTAATGTCAATTGAAATATGTTGTCCTTAAGTACAGAATGTGTAATTGATGTTATCTCCCATAGTTTGATAGCAGATACGAATTTACATTAAACCCACTGAAGATGTGCAGGGTTGGGTGTTTTGTGGAGGCTTGACAAAAGCAATGTGTTTGAGGCACAGCAGCCTCACAAAGTGCACTGATACAATGAACTGTTCCCTTTTCTAGGCTTCCATAAAAGTTTAGATATAGGTAGCATGACAGAAAGAAAGATAAAATGTGCAGAATCATGAACTGGGGAAGATGCCAGAAGCTGTATGCAAAGTATGAGGAAGGATGAATCAAACAAATAATGGATGAACTTGTACAGCAGATATTGATGGTGGCTGATTTTTTATTATTATTAATATTATGCAAGCAAAGGTACAGAAGTCTCTGCATATTCCACAGGATTTGTTCGATGTGTACAACTTAAATCTTAACAATATAAAAATATTAATAATTGAATGTTGCTCCTTATAGTATGCCTCTCTTGCCTACAGCATGATTATTTTTAAAATGCTTTAGTTGTTTGAAATACTTAGCATTAAAACAAAAGATTGAGAAATTAGAAATGCCAGAGGTGTTATCAGGTTTTGGTCTAAATCCTTGAATTTAACAGGAGCAGAGCTGGTGTGAGGCCTTGCTTTGTGATGGCTTTGTGTGCTTGTGCAGGTGAAGGCCCTGCAGGCTCAGATAGAAGAACAGACACGACTGACCAAGGAACAGGTCGAGTCCCTGCTCGAGGACAGGCGGATTCAGATGGAGGAAGCTGAGGTCCGGCACCAGAAGGACCAGGACAAGATCAAAGCTATAACAGAAAAGTGAGTGTGAAAGCATGGCCATGATGTGGTCATGAGATGAGAGGGAGCAATAGAAATGTTTTGACTTTGAGTGTGTTGCTTTCTGCAGCAGGCAGAAAAGAAAATTGTACAGCCTTCTGGGAGTGTGTGTGGAAGATGAGTGGAATAATCTGCTCATTAAAAATCCTCTCTCACATTGGAAGAAGAGCACTTATTTCATTAGATGAGAAGAGTTAAGCTCACATTTAGACCATGTATCTTCTCCTGTGCTTCTTCCAGCTTGCATTGATGACTGATGAAATTAAGGTAGGCACTAGGAAAGAAGTTAACTCCACTGGGTTCCCTTTTTGCAGGCTCCATAAGACCCAAAATCTCTTGTATGAGAGTACCCGGGACTTTCTCCAGCTCAAGTTTGATGCCAGAGCCAACGAGAAAGCATGGATGGCAGAGAAGGACAGTCTGTTGAGGAAACTTGGCAAAGATCTGGATCAGCTTGCTTTCAGCACAGAGTCAGGACAAAAGAAGCAGACAGAGCTGAAGAAGATGCTTCAAGGAAGTGATGGAGCTTCAAAATGCCACAGCAAAGAAATAAAGGTAATGTTTTTGTCTTTGGTAGAGCTCTCTTTAACAGTTTTTAACTAGAAAATTGCAAGCACCTTGGCTTTGGCATAATACACAGTCACTAGCAGCAGTTTCAAAGTTGTACTGGATTGCCTTAAGTTACGCTGTTGTTAGCAGTAATCTAAATAAAAAAACCCTCCTGCTTCAAAATCAGCATCACCTTCAAATTTCAGATAAAATGTATAGTTAGGATTTATGGTAGCATGTCACTGTCAGTTTCTTTCCTGCTCAGAAAAAATCCCAAATTCTGTAAGCTGTGTGGTAAGTGGGGCCAACAGTTTTTAACCTGCTGACTGCGTGTGCTCTCTGTTCCTGTAAGTGCTCTGAGCTAATGCTCTTAGAATGCAGTGCCTGGATCTTCCTTGATGCTGTCAGGGGAGAATGAGTCCTCTCAATTGATGTCTTCCAGCTCTTCTCAAGCAGTCTGAATTTTTCTTCCTCTTCCACTACCAGTGGGAAGCTGGGAGATGAGAATAAGGAATTGGAAAGTACACAGGCAAGAATGAATTGTTTCCATCTAGGCCTGAATACAGATGCCTCTGAAATGCAGTGCTGGGCAAGCAGCTCTGAAAGGGGAGTTAGAGCTTTAATTGAATGTTATCTTTAATGATGAGCAATAACTTATTCAGAGGTTTTGGTAATGAGACTGAAGTTAGAACACTGTCCTCACGTACTTGCGAGCTCTAGCTCCAGTTAATTTTTATTTTCCTGCCATATTAGCAGTAATATCCCACTTGCTTGTACAGGGCAGGGGAAGTTTTGTGAGCAGTCTTGAATTTTTTTTCTTCTTTTTTTTTTTTGTTCTTCCTATGTGCTAGTTACTGCAAGACAAGCTGGTGCAGGAGAAACACCTGTCACACATGTACAGAGAGCAGTGCGTCTCCCTGGAAGGGGAGGTGGCTAGAATGCGTGAGGAGAGGGATGCTGGCAAAGAGCTCTTTCAGGTAATTAGTGTGTAATCATCTCCTGGCTGGGTGATGATCTTGCAGCATTTATTCTGAATGGCCTATTGAGTTTTCGTCTCCTCAGGAGCGCTCAGAGAAGATGGGCAAGCGCCTGAAACTGATGACTCAGCGATGTGAAGCCTTGGAAAAACGTCGGAATCTGGAAGTAGAGGGCTTCAAGAATGACATCAAACAGCTTCAGCAGAAACTGAAAGATGTAGAGAAGAAGATTTATAAGGTAACAGCTAAGCCTTTCTGAGGCAGACTGTTGTGGGCTTATCATATAGAGATGTATTGTCAGTATTTAATGTAGTATTCCTCTAGGGTTAAGGAAATAATTCATTTTCTAAGTGTGTCTTTAAATATCAGTATCTGACAAAACTTGCCTCCTCTGTATTTTACAAAACAAAAGAGATTTGTCTTTGTCAAATAGACATCAAGCTTACCAAGAACTGTCCTTTTTATACATTAACTGTATTTTTGTTTCCACTCTCAAAAGTTCATATGTGATACAAGTATCTTACTTAGCTATCTCAAAATTGCAAGGCAGTGGTTTGATTCAGAAGTTTATCCTGCAAAGAAAATGAGTGTTTATTTTCTTTGTGAGAGCCATAGTGTTTGGTTCTGTTCCAATAAGAGATTGATCATTGTCTTAAGTATTTTGAGTACTCTGTTTGTTACTTTAGTATGCATTTGTGACTTTGCAGAAATCACTGCAGAAGCAGTGGCTGGAAGTTGTGTTCTCTGTAGTAGCTTCTAGGTGTGTAGATGAACATCTGAACAGCTTAGAGGGAAAGGCACAGCCTTGATGCTGCTTGGAGTTAAGGATGAGACATTTATAATGTGCTTGAGAGGATGATCTTGGTGTAGCTTAGACTCTCCTGCAGGAGTCTGGCAGTGCTATTGATTCATTCTTTTCCTGCACTTTTGATGCACAGCTCAGTTTATGCAGACCAATGCATTTATTTTGATTAAAGACTTCAATTTGTTTGGGTTTTTTTGGTTTTGTTTTTTTTTTTTTTTTAAATGGCCTGTGGATTTTCTTCAAGGACTTAAAGCAGTATATGAATGAGGGGGAAAAGTGTGTATGATGCCTTTACTGGAGACTTGTATGTTTTATATCTGTGGGTGGGCTCTTCATTGTATTCTCCATTTCTTAACACTGTTAACCACAAGAGGGCAGGGGAACAAAGCACTTGCAAAAAGTCTCCAGAGTGATCATTCAATCCTTCTCCTTGCTTGAGGTCAAAATGACTGAAGATGACTAAATTCCCTGATTTGCATGCTAACATTTTTGACTGAGAACTACATGATGACACAATAAGAAACCATAGGTGGGTCAAGAGAATAGAGGGATTTTAGAGCAGCTTCCCATGCTGTGCCCTTCAAAGTGGCTGGGCTGGCATGCTCTGTCCAATTGCAGGGTGACAGGAAATGTCAGCCCTGGCCAGCTTGCCATCAGGAATTCTGATTATCCAGCAGCCTTTACTCAGCTCAGTACAGGCACTGCCCAAGTCAAGGCTTTGGACTTGAACTGCTCTTGAGTCCTGTGCAGTTCAGAGGGCAGCAGGTCAGCCACAGCAGTTAGAACACCTCTAGCTGAAATAGCAAAAGATAAAATGTCATCTTATCTCCTGAGGTACTGAGAACTAGATAGGAGTTCCTTGATAAATAGTTTAACTTGTCCCTTTTTGTGTGTCTGTAAATAATACAGGAACTAGAAAGGAGTCAACAGGCTGTGAGTCAACATGGTTATATTCTACTAAGATTTCTTCCTTGCTAGTACTATAATACAAAAACATAATGATATGAAATCTTTGTTCTTTATGTCTAATTCTGGAACACCTTTCTGTTGGTGATGAGCTATTAACACATCCTTACACATCCCCTTTGCTGGCTACAAAGGGTCTCCTTTAGAGTTCTCTCCCTCATATATTTACCATAATGCTCCATAAATTGTATTCTGTACAGCTTTGTTTTTCTTAATCTGTTTTTGTTTTTAGGTGGCTATGAATTTGGCACCAGATGACCAGGATCTTGCAATTCTGCGTGAGATCCGCCAAGGAAATAAACTAACACGTAAAATTCAAGGAGAACTTAAAGACTTAAAAACAAAAATCTACATCTTAGAGGATGAACTACGGCACTGCTGAAGCTGAATTATTAGCTGGCATCCTAATTTTAGGAATAGGACATTGCTAGACTTGAATAGTCATATGAAAGAACAGCTCCTGCTTGTTTGTTTCCTGGCATCCATCAACAGAAATTTGAAGAAACCTGCTCTTGAGCCATTCCTAATGTACCAGATTATATTGCTGTTTGAGCTGAGAGATGACACCTGATAAACCTGACTTTAAAAGTACATGATGACTGATACATCAGGAGTGTGTGTGTGTGGCTATATCTTCATATCTGGGGTAGGGATCAGTGTGTACTGTGCTTTGCCTTTATTTGGAGCATATTATAAATCACATACATGGCTAGAATGAAATTAATAATCCTGGAAGGATCTAGGTGAAGATCTGAATTTTGACTGACATTTTCCTATGTGAGAAGCAGCTTTTTAAATAGTTCCATGATTCCTGTTTTGGTGCTTAACACCTCAGGATGTAACTGTAAATTCTCATATGGAAAGTGTGTACTCAAATGTCTTACATTTGACTCCTGGACAGGATAACTATTTTAAAATGGCTCCAGTTTGATTTGGTTTAACCTAATTGGAATAAAACTAATTGATTTAATATGGTGGGAAAAGATAACCCATTATAGAACTCTTCTGCAAGGATGAGCAACATTTACACAAGTTCTGAATGCTTGGTTGGGAGGTAGGTACTACACAACTGAAATTCATCTTCTCTTCCCCTTCCTCACAGTTTTAACATGCAAAGGAAGCCCATAACTAAGGGGACCTAGTATCTTCCTTAACCACCATATTATCTTTGTAGCTCTAAACAAGGTCATGGTTATGTGCAGAGAAATCATGACCAGCTTTTGCTACATAAGTTGTTGCTACTGAACTGTAACAAACTGGGGTGGAAGAGCAGGTGCACAGTTGATAGATGAGACCTGTAACTGTAGCTCTGTGTGGTGATTGTCTTCATACCAGACAGCACGATCCTAGAAAACAGATGAAATCATGACAAGGGTTTCAATATTATGATTGCAGGTATTCATGCTTTTGCTGCAGCATCCATAAATCTTGTCCCCCTTGCAGCCTGAGAGCAGATCTGTAGTGAAGGGATTTCAATGCTTCTGTTTCCTACTTTACCTTTTTTTACCTTGTTTCTGAAGTATACACCATATAAGCTACCAGCACTTCCTTCCCCTTTGAGCAGAGCTTAGTATGTGAAAGCAGGCAATTTCTTTTAGGTGGAAGTGGCCATGCAGCTCCTCATTTAGTGTTTCATAGGTAGATATGGAAAAGATGGAGGTGAAGGTTTGGAGAATATAGCATCAGCTAAAGCAATGCAGGAGGGGAAATGCCCTTAAGACACCCATACCCACATCAGTTGTCTGAACCTTTTTGTGACAAGCTTGCTGTCCCTTGTGGTCCTGTACTGTGGCTTTTGTTCTGTTTGTGTTCTTGAGGGCAGTTGATCACGGGCTTCAGTGTCCTGACAGTCCCTGGGTGCTCAGCTACACTGCAGCTTGCAAGGGGCTCTTTCAAAGGATGTTGCCCTGATCAGTTGAGCTGAAAATGCTGAACTGTTCAGAAACTGGTTCATGAACAGCTTGGGTGCTGATGTGATGTGGACAGTTAAGGAAGGATATTTAATGCTATCCATCCTTTAGTCTCATGCTCTCCTAGCTGGCTGGTATTTTCCTAGAGAAATCAAGCTAATTAAAGTGAGTTTGTATGTGGAATAACATCCTACTGGTCTGAAGATATCAATCCTATCACAGGGCCTAAAAGGCTGCTTCTGCAAATTGCTACATAATGAAGCCTTAGCCACTCATTCAGCAGGATCCATCTACTTAAATTCAGCTGATGGGAACCCAGCAAAAAGGTCTCTTGGACCTATAGAATCCTGTTTATTTTCAACTCTTGCAAGCTGAAGAATTGCCTGTGAAATGGCATTCTCCTCACTGGAAAGCCATGAAGTGTGTCTGGGTAAAGACTTCAAGCTCTGACATTCAGGTTTGTAAGACTGGGAGGAAGTATTGGGGGAAAAAGTATGTAAATGTTTAATTTCTTGGCTTCCTTACCAATATTCTTTAGACTTCAGGAAGACTGAACAGAATAAAATGACAGCATCCCTAATATATCTGCTAGTCTATCAAAATCCAAGTGCAGTTTGAACATGATTCTTAATGTCACTAGGCTATGAATACTTCCTGTGTGAGGGGGTGGGAGGGAAATCTCAGTAGTGTTACTCTGTAAATCCATTTTATTTGGAAGCGTGAATATTTTTCCAAGTGCAGGAAGTGCAAAGTATTGTACACACTCTTTCTGTGTGACATCACGTGGTCGTGTGAAATGTTGCCAAAACAAATGGGGACCTTCATGCCAAGAACTGCTTTCAAGAGCCAAGTGCTTCCTACCACTGACAGCTACCCTTTAAAATGTCAACAAAGCATTATTGGCATTTTCAAAGGGGTTTCCTGGGAGAAGTTCCACTATCTTAATTACTCTTTTTTTTTTTTTCCTACAGTTTTTGGGTAGAAATAAAAAAATAGCATTTACTTCCAAGGTAGATTAGCTTTTTTGATAACTGAAGTTAGTAATGTGTGACTTGTATCATTTTAGTACAACTAATGCCAGGTTATAAGTGTAGGACAGAATCTGAAAGATTTGTGAAATGTCTGCTTCTAAGATTATGGAGAGTCTATACTGCAGGATTAAAAGTTAGAACTGGACACATGTTCTTTTTGTGAGCCAAGATATTAAATATCTCTTGCATAACTGGGAGAAAAATGAGGAGCAGGGGAAACCTTATTGTGTAGCTTCAATTAATAAGGAAGGAGTGCCTACTTTTCAGATGATTCAGAGGAAGAGAAAAGGTTGTGCAAGAGCTCATTTTGTCTTGCATTAAGAAGATGGATTAATATGTGTCACTTGAAGACAAAAAACCCTACCAAAGGCCTCTCTATCCTAGCAGGGCAATGCTGAGCAACAACAAGTAGCCTGAACCTTAAATAAATTTAAAAAGGCATAAATTTTTAGTAGGGAGATAGTGCTTTTTTTTTCCCCCTTACTATAACAAACTAGGTATGGAAGTAACAAATTCTCCATCTCTATCTTCAAATCAAAAAATTACTTCACCTTTATTAACTTGTTTTAATAAGATACTGGGTTTGACCCATTAGAAATTAATGAAATATAATGACATGAGCTAACAGGAAATAATTTAGTGGCTCCTTCTGGCTTCAAACCTGTGATGTATTTATATGCAGTATTTGTTGGAGTTTTTTAGTTTTCATGCAGTTGCTTTAATTATAGGGACATGCTATGTCAGCTAACTCTGCACAGCAAGGTTATACAAGGTAAAACAAAACCAAAATAAAAATAATCTCTTGTGAATTTGTTATATCACAGTCTGCAGTAATTCCCAAGTGAACTGATGTGACTGTACTCAGGCAGACCAACAGTTCTCAGAGGTGTCAAAATAAGTCTAAACAGTAATGTGGTCTATGCTTGTATGCAGTGGCTACAGTTAAATTGCTTATGTAAATGGGATTATCATTTCAGAAACACATTTTACCACTGTGGATGGACTCTCTGGGCAGCCTGATATTCTGGAATTAAAATGTTTCTATGGAGGCCAGGAATTCTTTGATAATCAGATAGTATTTCTGAGTCTAGCTGGGAGCAGCATGCCTGTGTACTTTGTTCTGGTAGATCTGTTCATACTCATGCAAAGGGATGTTGTTCAGACTTTTAATTAAAGCTCACAAACACATTTAATTTAGAATGTGGTGTTTTAGAATGTGTTTTTGCCTGCTCAGTCAATATCTTAATAAAGGTGTCCTATTTGTCCCCATTCAAAGTGATATCATAAGTCATGAGTATGTTATGGACATTTTAAGAGATTTCTTTCTAATTTTTCTGCAATATTTTGCTTTTCTATTTTCCAGTTGCTTTAAATCGTAACTCTTTACTCCCTAAAGAGTTTTCCTTAAGTGTGCAAGTCTAGCTATAGAAGTATACACCTTCTTTAGTCTTCAGACTGGGATTATGCACCAAAACATTCTTGGACACAGTGTAGAAAGCGTGAGTGGTGGGAGCTGCAGTGATTCCTTTTGCTTGCTGCCTTTTTAAGGTTTTAGACAAAATGAGCAACATTTGGATTCTTAGGTTGCATCAAATATTAAGGACCTACTGTCCAAAACAAGCCGTCAGAGGTAACCAATATTTAACCCACTGGCAGGAAACATCTCTGCTATGACTGAAGTATTTGAGAGGAGTGTAGTGGATTTCTGGTGTCTCCCATTTAGCACCAAGGGAACTCTTGGAGAAAAGGCATCTTTGAATGTGGGGTAGAGTGACTGCCCTTCCAGCAAGCTCTAGAAATACAGCTTGAAAAACAAAGCCCTCAATAGGGCTGACTGTTCACTTCCCCTGACTAAATTGCATATTTTAAGAATGTGATGCTGTTGGACTGGGGACAGATGTGTAAATACAGATTATTTGGGTTTATTCAGAAAATCCAGAAGGGCTTTTAACACAGAAATGGTTCAATGTTAAAGCAAGACAATTATTAACTGCACAGGCATGAAGGGATTCACTCTTGGAATGGGTTTGATTTTAATAAAAAGCTCAGGATTTACCTTGGTGAGGCATGTCTGGTTTGTGCCAAATGCTCCTGTATTGATTCAGAGATCAAATTGCTTTTCTCTTACTGTAAACATTTCTGTCAGTATGGTGTCACTTCTAAACCATCCAGTACAACATTTTTTCCTCTTCAATCCTAGCTTGGGTGGACAGATGTCTACAGGGAATGCTGCTCATCTCTGTGGTCTGTAATGTCTCTGATAACATGACTATGATGCATCTTTGGGACTTCTCGAAAAGCAAGGATGATGAGCACAGCCACTTAAAATAGAAACCAAGTATTATTATGTTTAAGAGAGGGGAAGGAAGGAGTTATGCAAGACTAGACTGAAAACATGGATTTCCCAAATTCTCACATATGTTCATCTTTCATTATGATAAATATCTAAAGAGACTTTGCAAAGTCTCTTGAAAGTTCTCAGCTTAAAGTATAGAAAAACCTTTTTCAGGAAGTATCAAGAGATGGTTCTGATGTGCAAAAAAAGCAATTTAGGTCAACTCCTGGGGCAGGTCCTGAAATCAGGAAGTGTTCCTGGAGCACTGCATGAAGCTCATGTGAAAATGTGACCTCTTGCCAGCTGAAAGGGAAGGGAAAACATTTCTATGTAACTTTATCTGGACAGTGGGGACTTGAGAGCTAAGGAAGGAGTTAAGCAGTGGAAAGACACAATCATGAATGAGGCTTTGCATCCAGACAGCAAAGTTGGAGGAGAGCAATGGGATCCTGATCCTGTCAGTCAAAGTCATGGCTGTGTATACAGCAAGAGGAAATCACAAATCCCAACCCAGGCCACACCATACAAATCCTGGCAGTGTATCTGTATTGGTAAAATATCAGAATAAAACACATGAGACTCCATTTTCTTCATGGTGGAAAAAGCCTATTCTTTATTCATGTAACTCGCTTTTATACACTTTTACAAACCTTGTGTGGGATTCCTATTTGTTAGGAGCTTTCTTGCCAATTTATTGGTTAGTAAAAGCTATTTTACTTGTCCATCAAACCTCTCTCCTCTTAATTTGTTTACATATTTTCTTCACTGGTTCCCATGGGCTAGATTTAATGTTTATGCAGGTGCTGCTTGTTTTTCACCCAGGAATAGGTTGTTATATTAATGAACTGTTCACACCAGGATTGCTTTCAGATGGCAATTTGCAAATGCTGGCTTGACAAGGCTAGCCACTGATATAACAAAGTAGACCTGATGTTATGAAGCCTTTCGTTTATAATTTTTCTTCCTTACTGCACCAGTAAAATATGACCATGGCAGCACAACCCCTTGTATCAGCACCACTTAGCTGAGCAAGGAGGTCCTTGTGCTGATAGGATTTTAATTGTGGGACTGCACTGATTCCCTTACAGTGATGTTCAACTGCAGCATTGACAGGGATTTTTCTGGAATTGCCCCACTAGTAATGCCTTTTAGAGCCAAATCAAATTCTGAGGTGCCAAAAAGAGAAATAATAATGGGGAGCTGTGTCTTCAGAAACTGCTTATTCCTCTTAGAAGCACTTCTGCCTTTGAGCCAATTCTATGGAGAATGTTGAGATGAAGTCATTGTTTGTGCTTCAGAGCATAGCTGAGGTCAGGAAGAGGAGCATGGAGCCACCAGGGTGGGGAATTCTAGGGACAGT